CACGTCTAGCACTCGGTTGGATATGCAGACACTGTAGTCTCACACATTTAATGCATTTAGATAATGAAATGTGCTGCACAGATTTCAGGTAATGGGCGAGAAAAAGAGGAGATCAGAGGAGATGACTCCAGGAGTTCTTTGGAGAATCGGAAACTGAATCCTTAAAAGGGAAAAACCCAAATCGACAATGCTGACAGGTCACTATAGTTTGCAATTAACAATTTCTTCCCACAGGGTGGGGGCTCTCTCACGGCTCATGGTTTGGGCGCCCTGTCAGCCAGTGGCGCTGGACAACTAATGAATTATAAACACAGAACCGTAACATCAGATTTTTATCCACCATGCAGAAACATCTGGAAACATCTGATTGGCACCAGCTTCATTTTTCAACATGACAATGATCCCAAACACACGGCCTGTGCCATAAAAGCATACCAATATATAAAACACACAGTGGAACACTGTCAGCCATGGATTGGCCTCCACAGAGCCCGGACCTCAACACTCCTGAAGCACAACAAGAAGCTGAAACACCCAAAGGAGAGCTTTGGATGTCCCTCAGAATGCCTGGAGAGCTATTCCCAAATATACTTAAAGACATTCCTGTTTTACCAGCAGGATATAAAGGAATGAGGCGTCTGCATAGTACTGCATGTCCACTCTGAAATCATCTGTGTTTACAGCCTCTATTTTAAACGTATCCTTAACATATTTCTTTCCTACAGCCAATACTTTCCTCCATCATCCACAACATTTTTAAGACGTAGGCGAGCATTAGCATTAGCATTAGCTGCAGGACGATGCAAGTTACTGAACCAGGTAAAATAATTTTAGCTAGTTAGCTTAGCTTTAGCACAATTTGCAAACACCAAAGAGAAGATTAGGCACAAAAATGATTTTCATTTGGAATAATTGAATATCTACCTGCTGATGGTGCAAAGTGAGGAGGATAAATCCTGAAGGGAGCATGAATATGTGTGCTGCGAAAACATTTTATGTCACAGTGAAAGGGATGAGCCGTGTGGAGGAAAGTAAAGGAGGGTCCAAGCAGGCAAGGAGTTTTATTATAAAAATAAGACACAAGTGGAACTAAACAGAACTAAAGCTAAACTATACTGGAAAAAACTAAACTACTAAATACGAACAAGGGTGACCGGAAGCACATGACGGTTGATAGCAGACACACACAGCTGATTCACAGGAGATAAGCAGACGGACCAGCGACTACAACAAAAGAAGACACGACTAAATACACACAGAAGAACACGGAGATTACACACAGGTGGGGAACACAGCGGGAAGTGATTGACGAGACGAGGCAAGGGAGGCAAAATAAGACACGGACTTTCACAATAAAACAGGAAACAAGAAACCATTACACAAAGACGCAGACTAGACACAGAACTAAACCTACACTAAACACAAACCTAAGAACTAATCTCTTGTTATAATAATAACAATAACCAACAAAGCACCACAAGAGAATGACAAAAGAATCCATAATGCGAAATCACACCAAACGTCTGACCACATGTTGAATTCTGAATTATTTAATAAGTTGCATGTCAGGGAAGAGTCACGTGAATCTGGGAATTCACCGTCTGGATCAAAGTTCATGGAAAAGGTTTCAGCAGCTGTCTGGATACTTCACTAATATATGGATCAGAATTTATGGAAATGCTCCTCAAAGAACACAAATTTCTACACGGCTGAAGGGATTCGTCCTTTAGAGGAGCTTTAACATCTTTATCTGATCGCAATCCATCGCTGAGCTCAGTCAGAGCAGCTCTAAATGCAGTTATTCTCTTCTTTTGTTTCTGTCCTTTGATTGACCTTTAATGAATTTGCTTAGTTGCAGAGGCATCGGCATAAAAGGGGAAACATCATTCTTCTGAGTGCTCTCTCAACTTGCTTTGGCCTTCACTTGTATTTTCTTCTTCTTTCCAGCCTTCTCGACTCTTCTTAATATCCGCCTTCTGCACGGAGGTTGCATAATTCTGCAGCTACAGTATCGAACAGCGGGTGTGATTACACGCAGCCCTGAAATTCCTCTTAATGCAGAGCAGAGGCAGAAAAAATCCACCTGTCTGAGCTCATCGCTGTCACTCAGGTAAGCGCACTGAGCGGCAACCACCTTCAGATCGTATTGTTTTGATGCAGCATGTGAGCCGGGTATGTGTTGGATACACACAGAGCAAAATAAGGTTAGGAGCACACTGTGTGGGAGCTGCTGCTACTCTCTGGAGTTGTTGTGCAGATGTACACGTATGCTGAGTTTCCAAAAGCAGCTCCTCTGGATGATTCACCGCCTTAAATCTAAACCTTTAGCGTTTATTATTAACCTCTGTCTCTCGTCCACAGCATGTCTTTATCCTGTCTTCCTTCTCTCACCCCAACCAATCACAGCAGATGGCCCCGCCCCTCCCTGAGCCTGGTTCTGCCGGAGGTTTCTTCCTGTTAAAAGGGAGTTTTTCCTTCCCACTGTCGCCAAAGTGCTGCTCATAGGGGGTCATATGATTGTTGGGTTTTTCTCTGTATGTGTTATTGTAGGGTCGACCTTAGAATATGAAGCACCTTGAGGTGACTGTTGTTGTGATTTGACCCTGGATAAATAACATTTCCTTTTTAGCTACAATGAAGAGTAAAATCTCACTAAGTGCTTGGAACATCTTACAGTTTAATCTGAGCTAAAATTCCTGCTACAGTGGCTCAGTCAGCCTGACATCTTCAGATCAATGCATAAATACAAATGAGTCTGGAACCGCTCAGTTCATTTCTCACATTCAAAGGGCTGCAAACCAGAATCTCTCTGGAACAGACAGACCTGTAACCAGCGTTAGCTTCTTCATCGTTCTTCTCAACACAGATTTTAAGAGCAGTTTTGTCTCCTTCAGAGAAACTATCCTGTAATTCTGTGTGTGGGATGGAAACGTTCTGCAGTCCGAATGAAAACGAGTTCGTGATACTCGGGTTTTAGCAAAGGGCTGCTCACATTCAACCTGCAGAGCTGCAAAGATCATTCATAGTTTCTACGGTTCCAGTTAATGAAGCATTGGAAGCTTAAGCTCAGCTCCTGCACTTTCAGTGAACCAGAAGGTACGCCCATAATTCATGCAAAGGATCCTGGATGTGACAGTAAGGTGGCCCGAAGCGCAGCTTGGCAGGTGAACACGAATACTGCATGGACCGTAAATGATGGAGCACAACCAGCCTAAACACTGGCTCCATATCACAGAGTGTGAGTGGAAGAGGAGGAGGCTGGTCTGGCTCTGGAGATGGGCCGGTGCCTCGGAAGAAGAACAATCGAGTTAGAAATGATTGGAGCAAACGGCTCGAGCGACGGCAGCCGAGCTGAAGACAACACTGCGAGAATGCGACAGCAGATAACAGGTGAAACACGAGGAGGCCCGAGGAGACTGAGATGCAGTAAGGGGTAACCGGATAGCGCCGATCGCACGCTGTGGGTTTTATGTAACGTTGTAGAGTGGATCCCAGTAAAGCAGCAGAACTGGGATGGGCCCAGAGTCTCGCGGGAGCTGCGTAATTTACATTAGACCTATAAAACTCTGAGTGGGATGGTGTGGAGAGACGGGGGTGGAGGAAAAGCAAGAGGAGGCTGAAAGGGGATTCAAACATCTAAATAAGAAACTGTTTGATCTCAGATGTTGAAGCAGGAGAAGAACAGAATTAAACAAAGACGTGGAAAATTTCAGCGAGAGGAAGAAAAGCAGAGACGATGAATTTAACCAGAAGGAAACGAGAACACACGATACGACAAAACCAACCAGAGATATAAATAATGTTCACACAGAGGTGCTGGAAAATGACAGAGAAACAAGGATTTCTACAAAGAGATACCGAAAGGGAACTCGTGGTGGATGAAGGTGGAGCTATCAGGAGGCTGCTGCTCGCATCACACTTCAAATCAAAATGGAGGATGCTGTGATGTCACTGAGACTTACAGGAAGGACTGCATTAAAGCTGTGCAGAAACCCTTTCTACTGAAACATGAGAGGGAAAAAAGGTTCATCCTGGACTCACGAGTGCCGCTCATCGAGCAGAACCACAGAGTTCTGGAGTATTTGGAAAGTCGTAGCAGATAACAGTGAATGCTGAACACTAAATGAGCTCAACGAGAGAGAACGAGACACTAACTGTTGCTGTCCTCCACGACAAGCTAAACCTGGTGCTATGCTTCTCCTCTCGTGGCCCCTGATTAATACACAAATACAAACTAACCACAGCCCCATTCAATAAGGAACATTTTGCTTTTAACAGTTACGACGAGGCAGTTTATTAAAAACGGCCACAAACAGTTAAAGTTCCCTAAAAAAGGATTTTTGGTCCCCAGAGCTGAAACTAGAAACAGAGAATGGAAACGAGGCGTTCAGGGCAGCAGTGTTTACTTACTGTTGGTCATTTTTACCAAGAAACTGTGGAAATACACAAGTACTGTTTCAGTTTGATTCGTGGCACTGAAGCTGGATTTGAATTTGAGAGAGACGCAGTCGGGGAACAAGAAGCAGAGAGCACTAAAGTAGGAGACAAAGAGAGAGACGGGAGAGAGAAAAAGTGGGCAGGAGCTGGGATGCGTTCAGAGTCCCGTGGGACGGCTCTAATCTGCATTAGACCCACATTACACGGCCGAGCTGCTGGTTGGATCACACAGCCGAGGGTTTTACCGTACGTCCATAAAGAAATAAAGACGGAGAGATGTGGGTGGGTGGATGTAATGTATGGATACGTGATGTGTTCAGGGTACCCTGGGACGCAGCTGATTTACATTAAGCCCAGGCTGGGAGAGAAAGAAGGAGGATGAAGATGGAAACAGAGAATTAAGAAAAAGAAACACTCACTCAGGATCCCATTAACATGTGTCGGCCTCTTTAATAGCCGTGTTAGCTCAGAGCGCTCAGTTACTGCCATCTTAGAGCTCATTATGGGAAATGAAGTCAGGTATGCACACCTGTACGAGATCCTTTTATCTCTCCACTTCTGTCCCGTCAGCGCGTAGCGTTTGTTCCTCTGCCGCCGGCTGGTGTGAGGATGATCTGGGACGCCACAGCGAGGTCTCCTCATCCACCTGAACACAACAGCAACATGTTAGTGTTTTGGCACAGACTGGGTGGTTTCAGCTGAACAACAATTTCAGTGAACCGTGTTTATTCCAAGCAGCTTTGTTTTTAGGGGAGACACAGCTGGAGATGGTTATGAATTAGTTTTGCATTTGCAGTTACAGGACCAACTAAACGATCTCATGTCTGCTAATCATCAGCGCCATTTTTAGTTTCTCTTAGCTGTTTCATTATTCACCAAAGCAGCGCACCACAGCCGGCAGTTTCACATATTTGCTTTGACACAAGAATCGATTTCACTGGACGCCTGAACCTGGGTGCTTTCACATGTTGATGTAAACTACGTGTAAACTGTGAGGCCATTTAAAAGTACTTTTGGTAATGAAACTACAGAATTGATCTAAAACTGTTATCACCAGGGGGCAACCGAGTGTGCTGAGATATTTTCGAATGTTTGCTGACGCTCTGGTTACCAACTTCTCCTCAGGAAGCTTTGCTTTTCCCCATCAGAAATAAGAATGACATACAGGATGTGCTCGGAAGCTCCCGGGACACAGTTTTTATGCTGATGTTAAGTGTAGAGGACGTTTGGAAGCAGTTATCGAGCTGGGAGAGTGTTGGTGACTTTTAGGCACCCGCCTCTCGTGCTGCTCAGCGCTTTAACTCTGTAACATTTAGAGCTGATCACTGAATATCGGGGAGTGATAAGACTGATAATCTCTGAGTTTAATGGAGATGCACGATCTTCCAAAGAACTCTTGGAACATAACGACAGCCATTAGATTTCTGCTAAAACATTTTAAAAAGCAGACTGTTGAAGACGATGTGAGGATGAGCAGCACCCACAGGAAGCAGATTCACTTGTGGAGAGCAGTTTGTGTGCTGAAGCAGAGGAAACACATTTAAATTGAAAGCAGTGAGGCTGATTGCTTCTGGATGGATTAAGTGTCTGTGAAATGTCAAAAGGGGGTCAACGCTCAGCTTCGCAGAGCTCCTCGGATTCTTTAAATCATTGTTTTGAATTTCTGGCTCACGCTTTACATTCTGCTTCACTCGTATCGTTTTCACAGCGTCGTTTCAGACGCTTCAAAAGCATCTGAAGAACAGCTTCAGACGACGCGCTCAGCAGCAAACAGCAGGCGGACGCCGTCAGAGACAAGCTAGTAAATGCAGAGCAGCTAGAGAGGCTCAGGTTAGCCAAAACAGAAGAGTGTAACACTGTTAGAGCCAATCTATAGAGAAATATTTTTGATACTGTTTCAGTTATTGTTACATGTTTAATTTTGCATAATATGTTGTTAGAGAATAAATGCTGCGCGTTTAATTTGTGTCGGGTAAGAAAACATTACAGCGCATGTGTGGTAGCAGGTTAGAGTGAGCCAGGACGGCAATGGAAATGTGCGCTGTAGCAGCAAATAGTTTTTTGACCGTGACATCTTTTGTTTGTATGTACGAGTCAGAAATAAATCTGAACAGCTCACATTAAGAAGTGGAAGAATTATTTTTTCGAAGCTTGGGGCAGAAATTCGCCACTACATAAAAGTCAAAAAACTAGCGAGTAACGGAGGAATGTTTTCCGCGGTGGAGCCACCGACTGAGACATAGAAAAAAGTCACCGGATCGTCGGCATAAGGACGCCTACACACAACAACACGGCGAACAGCTAAGTAAAAAGTGTTTTGTCAGATGTATCTTACCTGTGGAAGTAGCATAAAGGAGTTTGTGCAGTACACCACCCGACAGCTGTGCCGAAGAAAATCATTACGGCTTAGCGGTGTT